CAGAAGGTGAGGAATTATTGGGGTTTGCAATTGCATCAAAATAAAATAAATTTTCTAGGAAAACCACATGTCTAGAAATACGAATTCTACCAATTTTTGGGTCATAACACAGGAAACCCTTTTGATCAACACCATATCCAACAAAAACACACATGGCAGCTTGGTTTGATAATTTTGTCCTTTCATGAGGTGGTAAATGAACAAAGCACACACAACCAAAAACATGTAAACGAGAATAATCAAGATGGCATTTATGCAAGGAGTAATATGGAGAGATGTTATGCAATACTTCAGAAGGAATACGGTTAATGAGATAAACTGTCGTAGAAGCAGCCTCAACCCAAAAATTAGGAGGAGCATGAGAATTAGATAACAAAGTTCTAACTACCCCTAAAATATGACGATTTTTCCTTTCAGCAACACCATTTTGCTGTGGGGTAGCAGGACATGACCTCTGAGACTGAATACCCTCAACCTTCAAAAATTCTTGAAATTCTTTTAGTAAATATTCACCCCCAGAATCAGAACGAAGAATTTTTATATTAGTATCAAATTGTGTTCTAATCATGGACAAAAAAGTCTTAAAATGAGAGAACACTTCAGATTTGTGTCGCATAAAATATATCCATGTGAATCTTGTGCAATCATCGATAAATAAAACAAAATACTTATATCCCAATCTAGATGAAACAGGAGAAGGACCCCAAACATCACTATGTATCAAATCAAAAGGTTTACTTAGAGTTGAAGAATGAGTTGGAAAAGGTAAGTTTGCACTTTTACTCAAAGAACAACTAATACAAGATTTATCAATGGAATCCAATGGCAAAGTTTTATTATTCAAAAGACCAGAAGTAAATAATGTATCTAATCTCTTAACATTGAGATGACCAAGTCTACGATGCCATAAGTGCCAAAGATTATGAGAACTAGAGACATCATTATTAGAAGAAACAAATAAACCAGCATCACTGTGTCCTTTGTCAAATTCCAAGGCAAACAAGCGACCAATCCTACGCCCCTTCCCTTTCACTATCCCAGTGCGACGGTCCTGTATAACACAACCAGAACAAGAAAAAGAAACAACATGATCAAAATCATCAACAAGTTGTCCAACAAAAATTAGGTTGGTAGTTAATTTGGGTACTAGAAAGACATTTGGCAAATGAAAGGAGGATTGAGATGCTACAGATAATGTAAGATTATCTGTACCAACTATATCAAGTTTTTCACCATTTGCGGTTTCAATTTTATTATTCCCTTGGAAAGG